AAGAAAGGAAGGAAGGAAGGAAGGAAGGAAGAAAGAAAGAAATATGTGTGTGTGTGTGTGTGTGTGTGTGTGCTTAAGCAAAAATACTGAACTTACAAGTGTTCAACGTGCATATGTAGTCTATCCTAAAGATGTTTCTGCCTAAGAAACACTAGCATTCAAATGTCTGTAAAATTTCCTCACCCATCTCCTTTTTTGTTAGTTAAGCTCAAAAAGGAAGAAAGTCACAGTTTTCTTCCTTGTTTTTACTGTGGGGTGTTGACATAGAACATCCCAGTTGGTTACTGATATGCCTTAACAACTCATGTCTCAGGACTTCTCATCTTTATCACAATTTGGTAGAAAGTGGAGCCTGGTATTAGAAATTAAGTATTTTCACTTGCCTTAAAATGTTCTAAATTTGGATATATTGTGTAATGGAGCAGTAAATGCACTGATAGTTTTTATTGAAGGGCTCAATCTTTCCACAACTCAACTCTGAGGTGTAGAAGAGTAAAGTGATGGTAGCACTGACACAAAATATGCAATGCTAAAAGTAGCTGTCTTAGGAACCTAAATGTATGCAGGTTTTTTTCAGCTCTTTCCAGCACTTATATAGGTTATTATTAGTCAAGGGGGAAGTCACCTTTGAACAAATGAAGCCAAATTGTTCAGTAACACTGGTGTAAGGACACTGACAAATTTTTCAAGATATATTGGATAAAAGTTATAAATAGAAATTTCACTTGACTTCAGATTCAGTATGAGTTGAACAGGAAGGTGGTACAAATCTATTTTACCAAGTCATATCATGTGGTCCATAATTGAGCTCCATTACCACCCACCCTATGGGGTCCTTGATGCTGCCCAGCTTCATGCTCTGTGGCAATTACTCCCCCACTCTCTTGACACTGATTCTCTCTTATCAACTTCCAGTTGCGCACTCTCAGCTTGTGGCCTCATCTCCTACTTGGCAGACTCTTCAGTGATTGAGGTCTTGGGGATTCTCATCTTTACCTTAACCTTGTTAAGACCGGAGCCCAGTATTAGAAATTAAGTGTATTCACTTGTGATGAGATGTTCTGAATTCTGACATATTGAGAATCTATGAGATGATAGTTGGAGGTAAGGCATTAAGGAGGCAATTAGGTCATGGTGGTAGAGCCCCCCAGTCTATGGTACTTTGTTATAGCAGGCCAACCAAACCAATATAGTACCTTATTAACTGTCCAGCATGAGTCACAGCCCAGCACTGGACATTTAGAAGCAGCTTCACAGATAAGCCTTAGTGAAAAAAAGCAAATTCTTAAGTCTTTGCCTTACCCTTCTCACTCCAACCAAGGCTCCTCCATTCCTAGGTCCATCCTGAAAATACTGAGGAAGTTTAAGACAGAGGCTAGCTGGCTCTATGGGCCAAGTCATCCGATCCACTTATTTGTTTAGTATCTTCTCTGTAGTGACTACTTTGTGATTAATATACAATGTATTGATACATATAATTTATGTTCCCCCTATTAGTCCATCCACATATCTCTTCCCAAAACCTTCTTGTCTCTGATTTCCTAATGTTGCACTCCTTCCCAGCCCCAATCAATAAGCCAAACCATGTTCTACTGACCAGAAGTCCACTGATATCTATGGTATTATTAAAAGGATACATTTAGTTTTTATACAGTTTGTGCCACAGTGCCCCTAGAATCTCTTAAGAGGTATGAGTGTCTCCCATATGTGAATGCTATACTAACTGATACCTTGGAGTCCTAGATAGTTACAGGATATTCACTAAAAAGACCAAGTCAAGCTTAGAGGGTTGGAACTTACAGGTTTACCTTTCAATCTACGTTATCATTATGTACCAAAATATGTACAAATAAAAAAATGTTTTAATTATAAGTCAAATTTAACTGGAACTGCAAAGTGATCATTTAAAAGACTTTAAAATATGCCAGGTGTGGTGGCACAATCCTATAAATCCATGTACCGATGGCCTATCATGTAATTAAGCATGCCTATGAAATAAACCCCCAAGCAAAAAGGGATTAGGGAACTTCTAGATTGGTGAACATCTCAAAGTACTAAGAGTATTATGGATAGAGATCATAAAATCTCCATGTCCCACTTCCCCACTACCTTGCCTACACACACCTCCCATTTGGTTGTTCCTAAGTTTTATAATTTAAAGTGATTTTCTGAGTTCTGTGAGTCATTTTAGCAGATTATGAAACCTGAAGTGAAAATAATGGGAAGCCCCATTTTATAGCCAGTTAGTCAGAAGGATGGGTGGCCCAGGACTTGTGATTGGTGTCCAAAGTACAGGCAATCTTATGGATCTGGTCTCCTAATTTATAGGGTCTGCATAAGCTCCAAATGTTTAATCTCATAACTAAATTCCATTATAGGACACACCCATCTGTGGTCGGAGAATTGGAAAACTGGTTTCTGGTGTTAAACACAACAGGTCACTTTCTCCACAGAGCAGCTAACTGTTAGGGAATTGATCATGTTTAAGTATGCTGTGGTGCTGCCATCACAGGCTGCATTCTCCTGGTACCTCTTGGCTCCTAAAATGACCTCATGCCCTTATCTCTGGTTTCCCTCCCCGCAAGGCCACAGTGGTCTGTATAAGTTGAAACCTGTGTCTGCAGGACTGGAGCCATAAAAAGCAACCTGGCCCCTGATAGGTTAAAAGTAGCTCACTCCTCATAAATAAGCAATAGCCCAGCCCAAAACTGATAAAAGGACCTTCCTTTCTTTGTTCTTCTCTCCTGCTTCTTCTTCCTCTTTCTCGCTCTCTGCTCTGCTCTTTCTCTCTGCTGTCTCTCTCTCTCCTCCCACCCATTGAATAAAATCTCCAGTCGGACATGTCAGTGTGTGTGTGTGTGTGTGTGTGGCCTAGTTGTTGAGCATCACTATTCCCTTTCACTAACAATGGTCTATTTCTCAAATTTCTGCTAATCAGAAGGAATTGTCCTTGTCATTGTCTTTTAGGGCCAGTCCTCAGTCAGTGTGTAACCATCAGCAGTTATTTAATGCCTGCATCAATATGTCATATCTGTTTATCTAAAACAAGTTTCCTTCCTCCTTTGTCATCTGGCTTTGGGGGACACTGCCCTAAGGTTTGAGGATAATCTGAGGGAGAGGCATCAGTACAATAGAGCGAGCGACAGGACAGTCTGCCCTACCTGCTTGTGTAACTTACTCTGGACCTTCTTAGGCCTGATCTCTGTTGCACCACTTCCTGATTGCTCCTGGGTCCTGTTAACTTTATGGTTCACAGAAGTGAATTAATCTAATCACACTATATATGATATGATGGGCTGGGCTGCTTTAGTATGCTATCCTTTCATACTGTATGGTGACTTAGTCTCTACCACAGAACTAGGACTAATTTCTGAAATATTATTCTTTGCTGCATTTAGCATAATCTTGCTCCAGAATTCTAAAATTCTGCACTAAGACCCTCTGAGGGACTTACCAAAGATTCTACACAGATCTTCATTAGCTCACATATGTATGATTCCATGCAATCTTCCAGGTCCTGTGGCTCAAGAGGCAGGCTGCTGATATCACATCTTAACTTGCTGAACAGCCATCTTTTATTCTGGGTTCCATTCGGTACTTCCTTCACAATCACCTAGTAAGTGGGTTAGAGTAGAATTTCCAAGTACTATATAGTCCATGCTGTCCCCCAAATCTGAGAACTACTACATGTTTTTTTCAGATTTTTTTTTTTTGTATCAGGAATAGAACTGCTCTTGCGAGGCAGGCAGCAGAACCACGGAGCCAAACCCTCAGCCCAAGAACTACTATATTTTGAGTGAATGTTTTAACATGTACAGACCACTAGAGTCCTAAAAGCCAATTGTGTGATAGATGGCTGGATCTTTGGCTTTAAAGTTTGCATTAAAAGCATTTATCTGCTTTGATATTTGCTTTAACATTTCCTTAAAATCAAAGTGCTATAATAAGGGAAGTAAGTGCATAGTTATCCATTCTTAGAGATTTGAGAAGATCTTAAATTACATACCAGGAAATCGCAAGTTTACATTGTACACCTCACACCACCCAGGGAGGGAGCATTTAAAGACAAGAATGGCTACTTTATAATAAATGTTTTATGACCAGAGCTGAACTGACACAACTGAGAGATTGGGGAAAGAGTCTGATTTGCTGGAACTAATGAATTTGACCCATGGACCTAGTGAGGACATGAGGAAACCATTATATCACTGCCACAATATTCTCATATATTTATTCATTCATTCAACAAATACCAATAAGCAATAAGGACAACCTTGTAGAAAGTGTGAGTCCAACATGGTCCCTAAGAATTAGTGAGATAAATGTTACAAGAGAAGTAAGAATGGGGCCACTATGTCACATGGAGGAGACAATAAATCCAAAAACTTTGTGAGGGAACAAAGGATTCCCCTCACGTGCTGAAAACAAAGATGAAACTAGAAGGAGAAGAGGCTAGAGGGGGAAAGCAGCCAGTGCAGAACATTGTAAGCAGGGCATGGGGTGTGTCCCAAGGCTAGAGGGGAGAAACCCACAGGATTAAAGGATAAACCTTATCACCCTTTGGCAGCCACAAAGTAACTTGCATGAAGGCAGATTACAGGTTGCAAAGTCCTTTTACACCTGACTCTTAATTTATTTGGTCCTCTCACAACAAACCTGTGAATTATCCATTCATTTTCTAGAGGGTCTCAGTGAATAAAGTTATTGAACCTCTATGTGTATATGCTATGATTGACTCCAGATAATAAAAACCATATTAGCTAGTTTAAAAGGAGAGTTTAATATAAGAAATTCTGTGTTCATCAGAGTTTTCATCAGAGGGGCTCAAGATGCAGGCACTGAGTTTTCAGTGAGTTCTGGACCATTCCAGCTCTATCATACACAAAGGAGATGCCATTTCGCCTCTGCACTTGCAGCAACTGCTGTTGGAGTTGTTTGCCATTGTAAGGCCTCACTCCCAGGACTGAGCTCACCAAGAGGAAGAGCAAACAGAAACCTCCATGTTTCGACCTCTGACCCTGAAGAGTCTCATGCCTCTGGCACCTCCACGCCTCATGAGAAGCACCAGCAGTGGGACCAATAATGGGCTCAAACTGGCCAACAAAATCGCAGTGGTCACAGGATCCATGCTTGGGTGAGAGCAACTCTTTGGTAATTCTGAAACTGTGACAGTCTCTTGATTTTTGTTGACCACATTGGCTTAGCCTGGTCCCCACAGAGCAAAGCCTTCAAAGCTGAAGCCCCAGTAGCTGATACAAAGCACCAGAGAATGAGATGCTGAGGGGGAAAAGGGACAGGAGAAGAAACAGGAAAACCAGATCCAGCCAGTGCAGAATGTATTACCAAGACGGCCCCACAACAGGCCCTCTGGTGATGGTCCACAGTTCCAGGAAGAATCCTGAACTGAATTTTAGAGGCAACCAACAGGGAAAGGGAGAAGGAATCCAGCCATTGCTTCATAACTCATTGGTCAATAATTATACTACATAAGGTCATTGTAGCATCTTGCGGTGATCTGAGGAGCTAGGGGTCTCCTGTGAAAAGACCCTCCATTTTCAGATTCAGAATGAAGGAGTAGGGCAGTGCTGCCTCAAGTGAAACCCTTTGGCTGAAAATAAGGAGGTCAGGTCCATGAAGAATGAGGAAGTCAGAAATGTATGCAGTGCCAAGAGAGGTTTATTTATAATATCGCAATGGTAAGGACAAAGCTGCCAAGCGGCAAGCTGCATGGCAGAAAGAACTCAAAAGGAGCTTCTCAAAGGCTACTGTACTCATAAGGGAAAGCTGATCCCTAAAACTTAACTGTTTCACTGATTGGTTTACTCTGGGCCAATCAGGGTCTTAGCCTTGGTTGCTGGGGTGCACTGTTGCTGGGATGAGCTAACGGTCATGGGGTCTAGGGGCACACAGTAAATTATGCAAGCTGACCCCTAAAAATAACTGTCCCACACCTGCAAGGGTTTCATAAAAGTAAGCAAGTGGTCATTTCTAAAACCATCTGCCACATCAGCCATTCCTACATTGCTGCCTGTCTTCCCCTCTGTTGCTACATAAAAACCCCATCCTTCTAAGCTGCATGCCTATGAGCACTCAGCACTGAGACAAGAAGCTCTAAGATCATAGCTGCAAACCAGATCAAAGTTTTGAGGATCTGGGAATAAATTGTCACCATAGTAGTTTCAGTAGGAGGTGAGGCCAAGCTTTGTTATAGTACACAGAGGGTCCAATACACCCAGGGCTGATGTATCCCCTCTTTATATCTTCTGTTCATCTTACCACCCATAAGCAGGGCATGATGTTAGCTCACCTGGGTTAGGGGAGAAAATTCATTTGGGAACTTGGGTGAGAAATATAGCAAGCAAGAAAGAAGTCATTTGTTGATGACAATGTAAATTAGCACCATGGAAGTCAGTGTGGAGATTCCTCAAAAAAATTAAAAATAGAAATTCCATTTGACCCAGCTATTGCCCTTCTAGATATCTTCCTGAAAGAGTTGAAGACATATTACAGATACACGCATACCCATTTTATAGCAGCACAATTTGAATAGCTAAATTTTGGAAACAGCCTACATGTCTATCGCCAGATGAATGGATAAGGAAAATATAGTATAAATACATAATGGAGAGCTACTCTGTCATAGAGATAAACTTGAGGCATTCATAGATAAATGGATGCAACTCAAGATCATAGTGTTAAGTGAAATAAGTCAGACACACAAGATTAAATATAGAATGATTTTCTTATAAGAGAAATTCAAAACTATAGTTACAAAAGAGCAAAACAGAAGACAAGAAAATAGGAAGTAGAGAAAAATTTATTGTTTTTACTCAAATGGCTAGGGGAACAAGAGATGAAGAGAGGAAAGAGCAAGGCAAAGGAAAGGGAGTGAGAAAAAAAATAATTCAAAGGAAAAATGATAAAAATGGGGCTTTTGCAAATGGAAAGAAGACCAAGAGTTTAAAGGAGCAGGGAGAGGAGAGATAATAAAAGAAAAAAGAAAAAGAGATGTACTATATGCATGTACCAACTCCCCACCATAAATGTAATCATTGTGTACTTCAAACGTACTTTTAAAAAGTAGGACTCAGCCCAAGCCTGAAATGTCACATCCTCCCGGTCTCTTTACCCACAGGATTGGCTTCGCCGTCGCCCGGTGTCTGGCCCAGGGCGGAGCCCATGTGGTCATCAGCAGCCGGAAGCAGCAGAATGTGGACCACGCAGTGGCCACGCTGAAGGGGGAGGGGCTCAGCGTGACGGGCACCGTGTGCCACGTGGGGAAGGCCGAGGACCGGGATTGGCTGGTGACCATGGTGAAGGACATAGAAGGAGTTATAGCCAGGGATGTGGGGAGTCTGCTTGTATGACCACACTAGGAAAAGAAGCTAATGCCTCCATCACATGAATCAAGTCAACTGCTTGTCCATCAGCTTCTGAGTAGTTAGCTCACAGACTCCTCTAACAGACCTAGTCAAAGAAAAACCACAGAGGGAGCAAGATGTTGGGGTGGAGAAGAACGTTCGTCTCCTGCTGAGTATCAGCCAGGCAGGCCCTCCTGGAAGATTCCAGAGAGGGGACTGAGTAGGACAGGGATGTTGTTACAGGGAATTTCGGTTTTCAGTCAGAGCTAGGTGTTCAGGAAAATGGGGATGTGGTGTGACACTCCAAGAAACAGAGTAGAGGAGAGATGTGTTAAGAAACTGGTAGCCAAGAGTGCCTAGGATTAAAAGGAAACACAGTAAAAGAAACATGGGTGAAATTTCACCCTTTATTGTTCACAGACTCAGGACCCAGCTCTTAAGAGAGAATGGTTCTCCATCCTCTCTTGGAGTTGTTCCTCTCCCAGATTTGACCCAGACATAGCCCACAGATATCAAACGGGAATCACCTCTCACTGCCACACAAACCTTTCCGTCCTTGACTGTGGTCCTCTTCTCACCTACAGGCTCTGAAACGCTGTGGGAGCGTGGACTTTCTGGTGTGCTCAGCAGGGGTCAACCCCTTGGTGGGAAGTACCCTGGGGGGCAGTGAGGAGACCTGGGACAAGGTGAGAACTGGGGGAGGCGCAGGGAGGTGGCGAGATTAACTCTCCCCTTCGCGTAACTCTCCAGCTCCACTGACACACCCAGAGCTGCTCTTCATCTCCCACCTATCCAATCCACTCCCCTTCCCTGCCCATCACAGACTCATTAGCACAGAGCAAGGTCAGGGGCCCAGACTCCATGAACCTCAATTCCCGGTGTGTGAGGTGGAGGATATCTGCCCTCTTCAGGAGCTCCCAGTCTGCAGGCCGTGTCCAATATACATAAAACCAGTCATGAAACATGGAGCTCAGGAAAGGAAAGAATTCTTTTCCTTGTTTGTTTCCCTTGGCGGAGGCATCAGCCCTCCATTCTCACCTGGTTCATTTCCTGACCCAGTGACAACACTGGACTGACTGTGGTCTAACCTTCGCCTCTCTTTTGCTTTAATTTCAAATCATGGACGTCAATGTGAAGGCACCAGCCCCCCTTCTGAGATAGCTGCTGCCCTACATGGAGAAGAGGGGGAGAGGGTGAGGGTTAAGGAAGGGGAATAGAGAGGGAGATGCTTCCTATCAAGCAGGAAGCTGGGAAGCAAGAGTAAGAAGGTCCAGTTTTGAGTTAGACATTCCCACTGCGAAGCAAGCTTAGTTGGCAGTGATGCAAGAATGGTGACAGCTTGGCTTTCAGACTATGGGTCACCTAAAGAAATCACAGAATTCAATCCATTAGTATGCCTAAGAAATAGATCGAGTATGAAAGACTGGGAAGTCCCTGCAAGGCCTCAGCAGGAAGGAAGATGAGGGCTGCACAGAAAGAGAGACTGGAGTTCCCACAGCTGTCCTAGAATCGGAGAAATGGAAGCGGCCTGTCTTGGGCTGTAGAAGCATGAGCCATAAGGATCCAGGATGATGACCCTAACGTACTGTGGCCTGTGTGCCTGCAGCAGAGCTAGATACCCAGCTGGAATGTGGACTGGGTCCCTGGTGTTCAGCTATGTTTGCTCCGCCTAGGCCCCTGTTCTGATTCAGGGCACCTCTGCAGTCTGGCTTCTCTTAGTAATTGACATATTTTATCATGTCAGTTAATGTTCACAACAGTTCTGCTAAGCAGAAGACATTTGCTAAAGGACATTCTAAGTGATGTATGTATTTCAGGCAGAAAGAACAAAAGACCCCATGTGGAAAATCTGACATAAAAGTAAGATGAAACACACAGAAAATACTAACATATGAATAAATTTAAATACCTAATGTAAAAAGCAATAATGATTTTTGTAGGGTTAAAAACGCTAAGTGTGCAAAGAATAATATTCAAATCAGGAAGACAGAAATGGAGCTGTTATAAGATTTTCGTGTTATTGAGCTAGGGTTTGAAAATTAATTATAAACTTTGATTAGCTAAACAAGCCTGTTTTGTTTTCTGGAATAACAGCTACAAGAATGGCAACAGAGTATGCAGTGTACGTAACAAAGTACCTGGGGAAGAAGTTAAAATAGAAAAAATAATATGGAATAAAGAATTCACAAGGAAAAAAAACTGGTGCAATAAAAATATCACAGAATTGAATGTTAGATGTTAATCCCAATACATTAGTAACTGCAGTTAAAATATAAAGATAGTTAAACCAGAATGTTTAATCAAATTAAAATTATTTACCTGGGCATGGTAGTACCTGTCTGTAATCGCAGCACTCAGGAAGCTGAGGCAGGAAGATTTCGAATTTGAGGCTGTCCTGGCAAATTAGCAAGACCTTACCTCAACACACACACACACACACACACACACACACACACACATGCACAAGCACATGTGCGCACTCACGCGCGCGCACACACACACACATAAAGGTTTTTAATCTAATTAGACAACAATGACATGTTTCACTAAATTCTTCATTTTTGTTGACTGAGTTTATAGTGCTAGGAAGAATATTAGTATGATGGTTATAGTTCTGGGGAAAGCTGGGAATCAAAATATTGTTTGAAGTAGGACAGATAAACCAGAGCATACTGCACACAGGTGCTCATCTCAACGGCTCGACTTGGAGTACACATCTTAAATCCCTCTTAAAGACAATGAAGTAAAACTATATCTTTTCAAGATTATAAACAATAGTGGTTAGCAGAATATAATACTGTCTATATTAAATGAAATGTTCTGGGGGAAAGTTAAATTTCCAGTGGTAGAAGAAAGGAAATAATACAGACAGAACCCAATAGAAAAGGAAACAAAATACAATGCAAGGGTCAAGAGAACCAAAAATTTATTTAAGCAAAAACTAATAACTATTATCAGGAATAAAGACAAAAGGCACCACTAGACATCCCAAAGGCAATAAAAAGAGAATGTTAAACAGAAACTAACCAAAAACAAACTGAAATCATTGTAAAATAAACATTTTTTAAAAAATTATACCCCTTACCAAAACTATCTCAAGAAGAGACAGAAAATGTGACTGGCCAGTGCTATTTCCATTCAATAAATGTAACCTACTTTCAATTTTTTTCTTAAAAAAACCAAGTCCACACAGAGATAGCTTCTCTAGCAATATAATTTGAGAGAGATAGTTGAAAGCTTAAAGGAAAATGAAGATAAATCCCTCTACGAGGCCCCAGCTATTCTCATTCTCAGTCACATGAGGTAACCTTCTTCAGCTCCCATCCTACCCGCTTTTCATTTTCCCAGGCAAGGTTCAGTGGTCCTGGTCTCCTCCATTGCTGCCTATTTCCCAGTTACTGTAAGTAGGACTATCTGTGGCTCCCCATTGGGTAAGAAAAACTCCCCCTCCTTTCATCTGGAAAATCAGTTTCACAGTTGCTCCCTCAGGACTATTTGTGTACGAAAGTGATCACCGTGGTCTCAGACTTTGTCTTTTATATAAATTTATTTAATGGGAGCATCTTGCCCTCTCTTTGGGGCATTATCTCTCAGACTTAATGAACAATCAGGAAGTGTACATGGATGATTGCCTGGTCAGAACTTAGGAAATTAAACTGACTCTTCCTTGTCTTCATTCCAGCCTGCTAATCTATTTCCCTTTGGATCCACAGAAGCTGGGAGTCTGCAGTGTCAGTAAAACAGCCCTACTGGGCCTCACCAAGACTCTGGCAGTGGAACTGGCACCAAAGAACATCCGGGTGAACGGCCTAGTACCAGGAATCATAGAAACGGCGTTCAGCAAAGTGGTAAGGTCTAAGGCCAGCAACACTTCCAACCCCACTGTGCAGCAGCGTAACTACTGCTGGAAGGCCTCACCCCATCGACCAAGACTTTCAAACTTAGACCTGTTGGCTCTTGCTCTGGTGTTCTGGTCCAAGCTTTTGTGATCCACTGCAGATGAAGACTCAGTCCTCTGTCAAGGGCCACGTCATAGTGTCTCCCAGTAGCCCTTTAGACACACAGCCTGAATAATGTACAGCCCATGTGATCCATCTGCAAAAGCACCACTAACCTTTTGACCTTTTCTTTAGCTCACTGAAGACAAGGCCTTAATAGACCATCTCAACCATTTTTTCGGTTTACAGAGGTAGGTTATGGCAAGGCAGAGTCCCCTGTGGCTGAATTAACATGACCACAGAAGGTTTTTGAAGTATGAAAATCACAGAGCAACTTCTGCAGATTTCTACCCCCAGATCTGATGATGCCCCCTGGGATGGCCTCTGCAGTTCCTCGTAGACCTCACAGGATTTCACTTGCACCTCTTCCTCATCTCTGCAGGACCTCGATTTCAGTGTCACATGGGAGCCCAGGGGCTGTGGGGAATCTGTCACCAAGACTCACTCCCCTCTCCTCTCTCCATACAGACTGGGACAGCCTGAGGACCATGCCGGACTTGTGTCCTTCCTGTGCTCCCCAGACTCCGGCTTCATCACTGGTGAGAACATCGCAGTGGCCGGCTTGTCCCCCCATGTCTGAGGGGCTTCTCCATGCAGGAGCCCCATGTGCCTGTGCTCCAAGTGTGTACACTTTAATTGAAACCCTTCCCTGACAGAAATAATAAAGAACGTAGCAAAAGAGGCCTGATAGTGTGAAACTATCATTAAAACCAGCTAACGACAATGTCAGCTTTGCTAGAAAACAAAATGTGTGCCTAAGAGTCTTGGACAAAAGCAAAAAGCTAAAATTAGGCTGTAAGATAACGTGCGTTGCCTTCTAAACATTCCTATAAACCTGATGTTTCGATCCCTAATTCTACAGTTGAGAAAGCCAAGACAGAGTGACTTAAGGACGATGTGCTGAGAACACAGATAGGGGATCTAAGCAAGTTGAACTTCCGTCTGCTTGTAAAAGGAGAGGGATTAGCATGGAATTGTATCTAAGGGGAAAGAATAGCCTCCAGGGTCTTCATTTTCCCTTTGGATTCCTATCCTATAAGACCAGATCTGGTCTACTTGCACTCACACAGGTCAACCTTCCACAAATATATGCTCAAGCAGTAACAAGTGTCTCTCACACGATGCACGCTGACCACTGGAGCCTGAAATGCAGGGACAATGGCAAGCCCCATGAGGGTCTTTCCGTATTTCCTTGGCCCTCTCTGGGTTCACAAATATTTCTGGTGGGCAATCCCTGTGCACACTCCCACAGCAACATGCCCTGTGCATGGGAGGAGTTACTGCCGGCATAGCACACACAACCTGTGAAGGGTGGGACCTGGGAAATAAGTACCTGCGCTGCTTGCTTGCACACAACGTCTCAAAAGGGGCCCAGGGGTGAGCACTCACCCACACACCCGCAGGGGCACCTGACACCTCTCTTACCATTCTTTGACTTTCCGCCTGCCACCTCTCTTCTTTCCCTCCCTTCCTCCATTTCTCCTTCCCTCTCACTTTCTCCCTCGTTTCATCTCCACAGGAAGTCATTTTTGGTCTCAGGATCTGCTTTGGTAGTAATCAAAACTCATACAAAAACCAAACTTTTCATTGAACATTTATAAGTAAATGACTAAAAATCTAAAGTTCTCAATGAGCCAACACAGAGGCTGAAACTTACTCACCCTAGAAAATAATTCAGTTATTTACAATAAGCACATGTTGCTAGAAACACTCTAAGGAAATAAACATCAGAGTTGGTGTTTCCTAAAGTGGGTATCATACTTGAAAAGAAGTGAAAATTTTAAATGTAGATAAATAATTTCATGCTACCCAAAATTATTAGGCAAGAAGACAGACAGTCTTCTAGCACTGAAGATGGCACTGAAGTAATTAAAAGCTGAAAGAGAAATAAATGACCCTATAGATGTGGTACAGACCAGGAGCCCTTGAACTTGCACCATTGGGTACCATTGAGAAAGTCAGTTCTCTCTTCCCTATGTCCTTCCTTCAAACGTGAAAGGCATGGTGCTCTCCCTGCCTGTTCTGGGTTGCTGAACATTCTTTACTGAGCATTCTCAGGTCCCTCTCTATCATTGTTAGACATCAGGTGAGTAACATCTCCCAAATTTAATTTTCTAAATTTTATGCAAAGTGCCTTACAATACACTTCCACGCCTCTCCCCCATGACTCCCACACATCAAAAGCAGTGTGCATCTCCCAGCCTGCTCCTGGATCAAACTGACTAAGGACAGATCAAGAGCTCTCCTAGGTTTTTCATATAACTACTTTGAATAAAAGTTAACTTATTAGGCTGGGGTTTTAGCTCAGTGGTTCTGGAGCCTGACTTATAAGCATAAGGACCCGAGTTCGATCCCCAGTACCACACACACAAAAAAAAGATAAAAGTTAACTTATTGAATGCTTACTATGTGCCACACACAGTATAGTATTTAAACTTGACTTTTACAGAAAAAGAAAAAGTTAAGACTTTAACTTTCCCAGAGTCACTCAGGCAACAGGAAGAAGATTTGAACCTATTCCACTGAGCCCAAAGTCTATGTTCTTAATTATTAAACTATGCTCCAAGTCAGGTGTGGTGCTGCATGCCTGTAATCCCAGCAGCACTCAGGAGGCTGAGACAGGAGGATGGCTGTGAGTTCAAGACCAGCCTGGGCCACATAGTGAGTTCCAGGTCAGTCTGAACTACATAGTGAGACCCTGTCTCAAAAAAAATTTTTTTAAATAAACTATACTCCAACTTGATGAATGACTCCTGTTATTTTTTTTTTCCTGTTTCTCATCTAAATTTGTATACTTTCAGTATTCAGAAGGCCATAGTTTGGATGGTAAGTGTTCCCAAATGTCCTTGTACAAAAGTCTGGTCCCAGGTAAAGCACTATTGGAAAGTGGTGGGAACTATTTTTTTTTAATCTAACAAATATTTTTAATTATGATTATTTTTTTCTTTTATGGTACATGTTTGCAATTAATGTAATTTACAGTCATCTTGGGGAGTTATTACATGTACATATAACAGCTTCTTTGGTTTTTTTTTTTTGTGTGTGTGTGTGTGTGTTTTGTTTTTGTTGTTGTTTTTTTATACTGGGGATGGAACTCGGGACCTTGAACTTTTGAGACAGGCAGCGGCACCACTGAGCTAAATCCCCAGCCCAACAGCTTCTTCTTTTTTTTTTTTTTAATCTTCCAGTTCCTCTATCCCCTTTTTCGTTCGTGTTGATGTTATTTGTCTTAGCTCATGTTATGGTATATGGTGTTTACAGTAATTGAGGTTATTAGGTTCCTGTACATGGCATATATTTATTCTACTTATTTCCCTTTTTCCTCCTCCCCACCCCTTGCCCTTGGACCATTTACTTATTAAAAGAGATTCATCCCCTTGTCCCTTTCTATCCATTTTTATCATTTTCTGTTGTTTGTATTTTGCCTTTCTCAAATAAGAGATACCATATGATATTTAAGCTTGTGTGTCTGATTTATTTTCCAGGTCCATCCGTTTTCTTACAAATGTCTTAAATGTGTCATTCTTCATAGCTGAGTAGTATTCCATTACATATAGATACCATGTTTTCTTTATTCAATTGTCTGTTGATGGGTATAAAGGCTTTTTCCAGGATTCAGCTATTATGAATTGTTCTGCTATAAACATTGGAATGCATGCATCACCATAGTTTGATGATTCAAGCTCTGTGGAGAAGATATGTAACAGGGGGATAGCTGGATCATATGGAATTTCTAATTTCAGTTCTTTGAGAAATCTCCACACTGATTTCTACGATGGTTGCACTAATTTACTTTCCCACCAACAATGAAGGAGGGTACCTTTTCACCATAGCCATGCCAACATTTAGTATTCTTTGATTTACTCCATTCTTTCTGGAGTAAGATGGAGTCTTAGGGTTCTTTTAATTTGCATTTCTGTAATGGCCAGAGACAATGAACCCTTTTTCATATATTTGTTGACTGTATTTCTTCCTCTGTGATGTGTCTGTTAATTTCTCTTGCCCATTTCTTGACTGGGTCTTAAATTTCAGAAGATTTACTTTTTTTTTTTAAGTTCTTTGTATATTCTACATATTGTTCATGTCAGAAGAGTAGCTAGCAAAACTTTTTCCCTTTCTGTAGGTTGTCTCTTCACTCTACTGATTGATTATTTTGCCGTACAGAAGCTTTTTAGTCTGATATAATCATATTTTTTGATTTTTGTTGCTATTTCTTGTGCAATTGAGAATCTATTTAGAAATCCTTTCCTATACCTATGTGTTCAAGTGTTTTACCTATTTTATGTTCCAGAGGGTTTAATGTTTCTGATTTAATGTTTAGATGCTTGATTCATTTTTATTTTAATTTAGTATACGGTGAGAGATAAGAATCCATCTTCAATGTTCTACAAACAGATACCAGTTTTCCAGCACACCTGTTGAATACGCTGTCTTTCCTCCACCATACCCTTTTGACCCCTTTGTCAAAGATTCAATGGTCAAATGTGTCTGGAGAGGTTTCTGTGTTCTCATTTGTGTTCCATTGATTCACACATCTGTTTTTGTTCCAAAACCATGCCATCTTTACCACTATAACTTTGTAGTATAGCTTGAGGTCAGCTATTGCTATGCTGTCTGCACTGTTCTTATTGCCCAAAATTATTTTTGTTATTCTGGGTCTCTTCTGGTTCCATATGCATTTTGGTATTGTTCCCTCTAGTGTGTGGTGGTGGAAACTTTAAGAGCTAGATCCAAGGGGGAGGTCTGTGGGTCATGCTCTTAAAGGAGAAGCTGGGACTCCAGGTTCTCTCGCTCCCTCTTTTTGCTTACTAGTCATGAGATAAGTGGTTTTGCTCCACCACACACTTGCACCATATTGCAGCACAGCCACTCATGGACTAGAATCTCCACAACTATGATCCAAATAAATACTTTATCTTTCTAAGCTTATTGTCTCAGGTATTTGTTACAGTGGTGGAAAGCTAACCAGCACACAGATTGGCAGTTCATGATTTTTGTTTCAAAGCCCAGTTTCAAGGAGGGCAGGGACAGGGGGAAAAAATGAGAACCAAGACCTGTCATATAGAGGTGCAACATCCCAACAATGAATGTAACTGTACTGTGTACCTAAAAGGTACCAATAAACTCAATTAAAGCTGAAAAAAAAAACAAGTTTCAGAGTCCACCAGATTCCAACCACTTTCAGATGTTTGATGAGAAGAATTAACATCCTCCAACCTCAGCTGAGCCAGGTAGCATCATACTCTGGAGGGAGCAGAAAGATATAATAAATGCATTTCCAAAGAGGTTGGTTATAATCTCTGTAAAGAAATATAAACAGTAAGAAAATATAAAAGGTAATAGGTGAGAGGAGCGGAATGGGAAACAAAGAGGCAATTTAAACCTCAGAATAAGAGTGTGTGGAGATCACACCTGAATGAAAACACAAATTGCAAACTCAGACTACATCTCTGAAAACACCTACCCCACATACTGAACCACTGAATGGGAATGCTAGAATGAATTCATTTAAAGGTGCAGAGAATCTGTAAGGTGATGATGATTTCTGGGATGGATCATGAGAAAGAAGAAAATCCACTAGTAAAAGGAGACTGACATTGTTGCGGGGAGAAAGGAACCCTCCTCCATTGTTGGTGGGAGTGCAGACTAGTGCAACCACTATGGAAATCAATAT